GCTTTTAAGTTCCTTGATGGTTGAGCACCAATTCTAAAACTTGACTGGATTTCAAGGAAAGACAACTGCCTTAGAAACAAAGAAATTGAGAGAATTAAGAAAAAAATTCCTGCCTTTGAGCCTTCCCGGTATAAGCACTCCTGATGATAGACGCCAAAGGTTAGTTCAATAGCACAGGCAGTCAGTGGGGTGGGCACAGCAATCTAGCCATAACACAGCTACACGCAGGCCGAGGAAACACTGATGGCCAGCCCAGGAACTCTTAGGAAAAGGAGTTAATATGCCCACAGAACTAACCGATGCTAACCAAGGCCCCTAAGACACACTACCCCATTAACACGACCACAGCAGCATACTGAACACTGCCTTGGATTATGTACGAAACTTGGAAGCAGGGCACATGCTGACATTGGACTTGCAGGTAGGTATTCTAGACTTGATTTCACATCACAAACTCCAAAAAGCCAAAACCAAGATGAGGAGATCGCTTGTGAACTGCTTCCGGCCTCCATAAAGAAGACACAGGGAGCTGAGTCCACTCTGAAACACTCAGTGTTTATGACTTTTACGCTTCACTTTGCCCACGCCCCCCCTACATCTTGTGAAAGCATTTACCTGCTGCACCCCCAGTTTTGTTTACTATTGCCTTATAATTTGGTGGGAAAAAATGTACATATTTGGCAATTTTTTACTTCTTCCACATGTAGATTTTAACTTAGGAACTAGGTTAAAATGGAGTTAAGAAAAGAGGCACAGTATAATTAATTTTCTTCCAAACTTATCATTAAGCTTACTTGTCTACTTCAATTTGACTTTATTTTATATCTAGAACCCAAGTTCCCCAGATTGTTTTCAAAATTACTACATGTAAATCTTTCCTTGTATCAAAATCTTACCCAGTGGACATACTTTACTACCAAAGGCTATTCAGAAATTACTTATCTGTGTTGCTTAAAGCAAGTTGGACATGGTCTCTGTAGAGGCCAGACATTCAGAGAGAACACCAAGCTCCTGGAATCTGAGGATTTAAAGAGGGAAAAAAGGAACATTCCATTCTGTTCTGTTTCCTCATCTTTTTTCTTTCTGCTGTGGCTCCAGCTCTCTTAGGAAGTTACCCAACGCCACAGTTCTTTATCCGCAAAAGAGAACAAAATATTAATACAAAATGAAAACCAATGTTTTAGGAATCCTGGTGGACAAAAATTAGTACAAATGAAATAAGGTGGATCAGTAAATTCTGAGACAGAGATTTGAGTACAGTATTTAGTTTCCTAAAGTCGGCTGGTGCAGTCTGGGGACAAGAACTTTTCTGGTTACATGCATATAACAGAAATTTCAGGCTGCAGAGTACTACCAGCAAGCTAGTATGTCTGCTGTGAAGCAATAATGATTCTCTGATAACCTCTGTTAAAACCTTGACAGCATTTTCCTCCTATTAGAAACCCAGAAAGTTACTGCAAGCATTAGGCTAACGGTTTTAAGTAACATAGTTTAACATGTCAAAAAGGAGAGAGAGAGAAAGAGAGAAAAACAGAACAAAGGGAAGTAAAGGCAAAATTCACAGTAAACTCCCTTGGATTAAAATTAACAAATCAATTCCTAGACAGAAAAAAAAAAAAAACCCTGTAAGATAGAAAAAAAAAACCTACTCAAATTACATCTTTTGGAATTCAATTATTATAAAATTGAATCTAGAAAAGTGTGGAGAAACGACAGCAAAAAGATAAAAGTAGATAAACACGCAGAACGGAGTGAGGCAAGAGCGACAGGGTGTGTGGGTGGGTGTTAAAATTTGCAAGTGAGTGCTATAAACAGAATAAAACAATGGATATTGAGCATTGTGTTTGACAGATTGACACTTAAGAGAAAAAAGAACTGTTAGGGGCCCATATGGTAGGTTGGGTTCTAACAGTCTTTGAAAGGACACTTTATCCATTCTATCTAAAAATAGCTTAGCAGTGATATAGAAACATTTTTTTGAGCAGAAGAACCATTTTTTTCACCTGCTACCCCAAGATTCATGCTGTGGCACCTAAAACCTTCCTGGAAGCCTCTGAGACAGCTTCTAGGAACCTTGGAACTCTGCTGACCAGTGCAAAGGCCACAGTGGCAACAAATTCTTTCGGAGTCAACAGATCCTCATACAATCGGGAGGAAGGAGGACAGAACCTTAAAAAACCTATCCCAGATGCAGCTGTGTCTGATTTCGGCCCAGCCACTTCAGGGCTGGGTCCTTGTTTCACCCTGGGTTCACTGTCATTCTCCTCGTGAGCATCACAAGCCACCTCCCAGCTCACAGCTCGGACATTCTGTCCACCAACCCCGACCAAAGATGCCAGAGCCAGCATCGCATCCTATCCAGCATCGCATCCCATCCAGCGCGGGGAGAGGCTGGCAGGCTTCAGCATCCAGCAGGTGCTCAGTCGCTCAGTTGTGTCTGACTCTGCAGCCCCATGGACTGCAGCCCACCAGGCTGCTCTGTGCGTGAGATTCTCCAGGCAAGAATACTGGAGTGGGTTGCCACATCCTCCTCCAGGGGATCTTCCCAACCCAGGGATCAAACCTGCGTCTCCTGCATCGCAGGCGGATTCTCTCCAGACCCCTCCAGAAGTGACCCCTCTCGCCACCTCCGGGTACAGTCCCCCTGTGAGAGGGCGGCCGCCCTCTCGCGCCAGGACCCTGCTGCCTCCCCGCGTGCCCCTGTGTCCTGCTCAGCAATCTAGAAACTCTAGTTTCCGGTGATCACTCTAGTGATCAGCCAGAGTGGTCCTTACATGGAGGGCTGACTGTTTCACTCTACTCCAAACCACCCCCTGACCCCCCACGTCCCCAGAGGAGAAGCCCAGCTTCTGCGGTGGCCTTGGGGTGGCGGCCGCCCCGATGTGCTGCCCGACCTCTCACAGCGACTCATCGCCTGGCAGCAGCGCTGCTGGCAGAGGCCCTGGGCTGGCAACGTCGCGGGCCCTCCAGCATCGCCTTACCCCAGTCACCTCCCCGAACCACAGCCTTCCAGGGCGCCCGCATCCAGGGACAGTCCCCAGGTCCAGAGGCCCCAGGGAGTCGGGGGGAATGGCTGGGGCTGTGGGCGGGCCTGCACGGCAGCTTGACCTCTGCTTCTGCCCTGCTTCCTTCTGCTCCTTCCACACGTCTTCATCCCGTCCCGGAAAATGACCTGCCCGCTTTACGCTGCCTCCGGGCCTGCTTCCCGAGACCCCAGCCTGCCACGAAGGTCCCACGCAATCCAGCCCCGCCAGCCTCTCCGACCCCCGATCTTCTCGGTCTCCCCAGCTCGGCCCGCTCCAAGCTCACTGGCCTTGGTTCCGCGTTTCCTCCCGAGGACCAGTGGCCTCCTGGGGGAAGGTCCTGGAGCGGCTGTTCCTTCACCTCCTTCCAGCTCTGCTTAAGTATCACCTTAAACACATGCGTGCATTTGCTTACCTGTCTGGGTGTGGATCTCACTTGGAAAAAAATGACTTCACTTACTTACAAAAGAGTGTGAAAATGACTGCTTTAAATACATGAAGGCAGGGTTATGGTAAACAAACAAAACAACACCAAAAAAAACCTCAGGGGTTCTGGACTCAACCCTGAGCCCCCCCCGCAGCTGTGTGGCTTTGGGGCAGGGACCACACCCCTGGCAGCCTGGGCCCCCTTATGGTGGGGAGACTGATTTTACAGAGATTCCTGGAATGGCCCCTGAGAATTAGTTGATTTCTTGTACGTTAACAGGCTGTGAAAACAACAAAGGGCATGTAAATACTGGTAATTCTGAAGAGCTGACCCCGTGAACCTCACATACCAAAAAAGCCTATTGGGAGTACACTTGCATCCTGGCTTTCCTGGCATTCCTGGTCAGAGTACACTTGGCATTCCTGGTCAGAGTCCTAGGAAGTCGACTTTTTGGCTCTACTCAACCATGGATAGACTGAGAGCTTCAGCGAAGTAGAAAGGGCTGGGCGATTGTTCTCCCAGGGCACAGAACTGGCCCAGCAAACATCACCGACAACCCAGAAGGGTTATGACCACTAGTTGTTACGTGGTACAAAATCCTAATATTTTGCTCTTCTTGCACTGACTTTAATTACTTCAGACTTTATTCTAATCTCTAAGGACCTTGCAGGGGGTGAGGAGTGGGAGGAAAGCACATAGGATTTCAAATATCTAGGTCCCTGTATGTTCATCAGAAAAGCTTTAAATGTTAAAAACAGCTGTTATGTCTGGTTATTTGAGATTAGAGACTGAAATCTTTTCATGTGTATCTTCAACTCAAACTTTTATATTTATTTCTGTTCTTGTGATACAGAGTATCTGTACTTGGCTTAAAAATAAAACAATAACTCCCCCCAAAATCTCAGCTGTTTTTATGTGTTCTTCCATTCATTTTTCATTTACTGGAGTGAAATGTCCTTGCCCATAACCTCAAATCCACCAGCTTGATTGATTTCAGGGGTTGGGCTGGAGACCCACCCTGCCGAACAGAGAAGACAGACCACGCATAAGCTGGCACTGACAAAGCCACAGTAATCTCACACCACATCCTATGTCTGCCTTTTCTGATTTATTTGTGAGCTCACTAGAGTCCATTTCTTTATTTCTAAAGAGAGAATCCCATAAGCTTATGTGAGAGACACCATTATTAAAAACCATTGTTCATTAAAAACCATTGTTCAACAGTTATACCTTAACAATGACTGCACCATGTATTAAGATGATAATAATAAAATAAAATAAAATAATAATATTAAAAAAGATGATAATAATTAAAGATGGTGCTATAGAAAGATAAGGAAAGCAGACCTTGTTCTAATCAATTAGCACACAATGGCTTTGCCATTCTCTAGATCCACATGCTATATCTGGGAACATTCCTGCCTGGGGTGCGGTGCACGCGTGCGCGTGCGTGCGCACGTGTGTGTGTGTGTCTGTATGTCTGTGTGTGTGTCTGTGTGTGTTTCCCCTTGGGAAAGTCAGTGCTACAATCAGATTATCCAGGGTCTTTGTTAAAGCAATAATCTACCAGAAATTGCCTTCGCTTTCCACGTCCTCCTTTGAGGGTAACACACACTCTTCAGATTTTTCTTCATCGCTTTATACAACTTAATATTCAGGCTAGGGAAACTAGAAATCTCCTCCAGGTCAAACAACTGCTCAAATCTATCTACAAATTTATTTTCCTTCTCCAGCCTGAATTTCATGACCCAGAGGATGACGGTGGTCTCTTTGCACAGATGGTCAAAGGTAATGAGGAGTTCTTCGAGAAACGGGTGAGCGTAGACGACGTCGGCTGCCAGGATGTAGTCGAAGTTGGTGGAAGCCCTGGGGAAGTTCTTGTCTAGAGCCACACCCCAGGAGAGCTCTTTGACCTGTGGCAGATGCTTAGCTTTCATTTTGGTGTTTCGGGAAATATTATACTGCAGGTTTCCAAGTACCTCGGGTAAATCTGTGGCAGTCACGTGTGCACCTGGGAAGCAAAGGGCGGCAGGGAAAGGAGCCTTCATGGGACGAGGTGAAGCCATCGGTGCGTGAGCCACCACGCACTCTGCAGTTCGACACGAAGGCTAGCCCCACGCCGAGGACACGGCACGCACAGGAGGGAAACCCCTCCAAAATGGATGCTAAGGCAGCTCTGCGCCTCCCCCTACACACGATTGGGTTCGCCAGGTATTGATGCTTTTACATCTTTGCACTTTTGTGTTCTCCTGGGTTTTGTTTTGTTTTGGGGGGTCAGTTTTGTTTTGTTATTCTTGCTGTTATTTTCTATTTATCTACTTAAAACATCAAAAGGAAGGGAAATTCAAAGGCTTTTGTATCCTCACTGGTTTGGAACAGGGTCTTCCCTAAAAGAAACCTGAGCTCCAGTCATGGGAGAGCGAATGAGTGACCCTCTGAGCACCCCATCATTGACCAGGAAGTGCTTAAGTGGGAGAAGTGGAGGCGGAAGAGATGAGCTCCCAGTGTCACTACATGGAAAGTATCAGGACACGCAGGCTCACGCCCATGGTTTCAGCTTGACCCCATCATAAGCCTGACTCTGACAACCTGCATCTGGGGCGTCCCAGGTGGCTCAGCAGGTAAAGAATCCACCTGCCAATGCAGGAGACGCAGATCCGATCCCTGGGACAGGAAGATCCCCTGGAGGAGGAAACAGCAGCCCACTCCAGTATTTTTGCCTGGGAAATCCCACGGACAGAGGGGCCTGGCGGGCTACAGTCCATGGGGTCACAAAGAGTCGGACACAGCTGGGTGACAGAGCACGCGTGCACAAACAACCTGCACAGGCAGCTCACACACCCAAAGGTCACACGCGCAGAACAGAAGGCTCAGATGAAAAACATACGAAGAAACCCACAGTTAAAAGCGAATACTGGTGGTCATTTTCAGGAGGAAACTGTACACCAAAAATCAAAACAATTTGTCCCCTGACATGAATTTTGAGCAGTGGGAGAGCCTGAAAATGTGCAACTAAGTCTAGAATTGTCTGAAATCTACATGATCGGACAAGAACAGACTCACAAAAGGAACAAGAGAACAGATCTGGAGGGGAATCCAGTTCACCCCAGACCAATTTAGAACCCATTTCTCACCCATGATGGCAAATTTCTCTGGCTATTGACTCTATTTCTGGAAACTGTTAAAACGGGAGGGAAATATACATTTCATTGGTAGAATCACAGAAATAAAAGTCTCTGCATTCTTGTGTGTGTGTGTGTGTGTGTGTGTGTACAGAGGGAGGTCTATCAATTTCAACAAATCTTTTTAAGATCCCAAGATAAGAAATGACTCCTCCCTCCACTGCCCTTCACCCATAGGAATATAAACTATCTGAAGGGGTCGACAGAAGATGAGATGGTTGATGGCGTCACCAACTCAATGAACTGTGGAAGTTGGTGATGGACAGGGAGGCCTGGCGTGCTGCAGCCCATGGGGTTGCAAAGAGTCGGACATGACTGTGCGACTTAGCTGAGGCACTGGGGCTGACTGTGAAGAGCTTCGTGTCTAGAGGTGAACACCACCACTGACTAAACAAAGCTTCCATCCTCTGAGGCTTGTGTCAAGTTATACGAACAGACCAAAAGGACTGATTCTTTTTAATGAATGAACAACTTCCCAAAACACAAATTCTGCTCTTCGATGAGGAAGCTTTCAGGTATAAATCCAACAGGACCTCTGACACTAGCCATACTAAGCAGAATGGTGACTTTCAAAGCAATGTCAAGACAGAGCAATTTAAAAAAAAATAAATAAAATATTTGGGGAGGGTTTCAAGGGTCCTGTATTTCTCCAGTACTTTAGAAAGTTGTAAATTGCTAAATCTTGAACTCTTCTCAAGATTTTAGAGTGGCAGGTGTGCACTTCTGAAGATCAAGGAAATCAAGATGGATTTGGGCCACATACATCAGAGAAGGCAGATAAATTACGGTTGTGAAAAAGATAACAACAACAAAAAAGATTGAAGCAGGCTCAGACACACGTAGAGACCATCACACATTTAGTTGGAAAAGAAGATGCTGGTGAGAGAACAAGCGATCACAAAAGAAGAATGGAAATAACTGAGAAAATAAATTCAAGGACACGTGCCTAAACTTAGAAGCAGACATGATTTCTAACACTCTTTCTAACAGGTGCTTTTTCATAAAAGAAAATGACTTCAAAACCCAAAAGGAATATACCAAGTGCATGGGGATGTTGAAATGGGGCTGAAACGTAAATAAAGAAGAAAGAGTCCGCAGCAGTCAGCTCTGCCTGTGCCTCATATTTCACACGTTCTCTAGCAGCCAGAATGCCAGGATATACATGCCAGGTAGAATGCGCTTGTGACCTACACCCCAGGAGAAGAACTAATATAGCTTCCCAGAAAATTCGGAAAGAAACCAGTTAGGTGACTTTAACACTGTTAAAGTTTCTTAATGAAGCCCATTCAAAGCATGAAGGGCTTGAAAACAGGCCCTGATTCATGTTGATGAAGAGCAGAAATCAACACAGTATTGTAAAGCAATTATCCTTCAATTGAAAATACATAAAATTTTTCAAAAGAAAACAAGAAATAAATAAATGAAAATAGGAAAAAACTAAAAGATATTTCTTAATATCAGAAATAAGAAGGCAAACAAGACAAGCCTGGCGGGGGGGGAATAAATGTACAAGAAAAAATATGTACAAAGACTCAATTATGAGAAACTGGGACCAACTTTCTATCAGGAGGAGAATTTCAAAGTAAACTATCATTTATAGTGAAAAAAAAAATAGGCCTAGGTTATAGTAAAATGAAAGTGAAAGTCGCTCAGTTGCGTCCAACTCTTTGCTACCCCTGGACTATACAGTCCACAGAATACTCCAGGCACAGTAAATGGATAGCAAAAGCAACTAATGATATCAGATGATTGGGTTCTCTGATCCCATTTGATCTAACGCAGCTACTTACCAAGTAAACTCGCCACAATGGAGACGAGCCCTGTTCCGGCTCCAATTTCAATCACATTTTTGTCGGCCATGTTATACTGCTTTACGTTAGTTTCCAGAAAATAGCACAGAACAAGGGCCTGTGAAAATGCAAAAAAAGAAAAAACAGTGCTTAGTAAGTAATCACAGAAAGCAATATTAAACTCTATTAGACAAATACCCCACTAATGCTATAATACGCATATGAGCACGTGTGAGAGTGGGCTTCCCAGGTGGCACGGTGGTAAAGAATCTGCCTGCCAATGCAGGAGACATAGGAGATGTGGGTTCAATCCCTGGGCTGGGAGGATCCCCTGGAGGAGGAAATGGCAACCCACTCTAGCATTCTTGCCTGCGAAATTCCATGGACAGAGGAGCCTGGGGGGCTGCAGTCCACGGGGTCGCAAACAGTCAGATACAACTATGCAACCGAGCACACATGCATATGTGAGTGTATGTGTGTGTATATACACATCTCTACAGAAAATTATCCACAGAAGCACATTCTCCAATAGATTCAACATTTAAGATAGAAAAAGTCTTTGGGGATTGTTGGGGAGAGAAGAGAACTGAGAATATAGAGTTCAGTTACTTAGGCTTGATTATCTTTAAAGGAAGCAACTTCTAATAATAAGAGTCATTTTAAAGAAATATATGTTCAAGATTGGGGCAGACAGTAGAGGGGGCTGCCCTTTGTAGGACAATTGATAAATGAGTGTTGGCCTTCTAGAATATTCTGCATGTTGAGACTGACACAGATTTCATTATAATTGTTTAACTCAAATACAGCCCAGGTAAATGGGAAATGAAAATGTGTACAATTCTAAACTTGTGTGACCTATAGTAACCAAAAACTGAATGTGTAAACAACAGTCTTTATTAACCCTACAAGTCAGAAATAAAATTGGTGGGAGCATTTCCCCAATTTCTTGATTTCTAAATTTTACTGTTGCTTGAGGTAACAAAAGAGAACTATGGGATCTCTCTTCTCCTTCCAAATAGTACACAATAATAAACAAAATTGGATGAAAAATAATAAAATAGAACACTTTCTAACACCATACACAAAAATAAACTCAAGATGGATTAAAGATCTAAATGTAAGACCAGAAACTATAAAACTCCTAGAGGAGAACATAGGCAAAACACTCTCCGACATAAATCACAGCAGGATCCTCTATGACCCACATCCCAGAATTTTAGAAATAAAAGCAAAAATAAACAAATGGGACCTAATGAAACTTAAAAGCTTTTGCACAACAAAGGAAACTATAAGCAAGGTGAAAAGACAGCCCTCAGATTGGGAGAAAATAATAGCAAACGAAGCAACAGACAAAGGATTAATCTCAAAAATATACAAGCAACTCCTCCAGCTCAACTCCAGAAAAATAAATGACCCAATCAAAAAATGGGCCAAAGAACTGAACAGACATTTCTCCAAGGAAGACATACAGATGGCTAACAAACACATGAAAAGATGCTCAACATCACTCATTATCAGAGAAATGCAAATCAAAACCACAATGAGGTACCATTACACACCAGTCAGGATGGCTGCTATCCAAAAGTCTACAAGCAATAAATGCTGGAGAGGGTGTGGAGAAAAGGGAACCCTCTTACACTGTTGGTGGGAATGCAAATTAGTACAGCCACTATGGAAAACAGTGTGGAGATTTCTTAAAAAGCAAATTTTGTATGAAATTATACCGATGGCCAAACAACAGCGCCATAACAATCCGTGGCTTCATTGATCCGAATCTCATGACCAGCGAAATAAAACCCCTCCCAGGGGACAGTTGTTACAAACGCTGGAACAAAACATCTCCGCCTGATCTCTGCAACCACTGTCCTGTCATCGTCATCTTCTCTGCTCTCTGAAAGGAAAAGAAAAAGGCAGTGGTTGTGGTTGTGGCAGTAAAACCATGGCAAAGGAGAAGAATCTGCTGGAAATGCAGCATTTCCACTTATTCTAAGTTACTTCTGACCAGTCATTGACTTCAGCTGCAATGTAATGATAGTGAGGTAAACTACTTGAAAACAGCTCTTAACAGAAGCTGACATTTCATACATTGGGACAACATCTTTCTGATTTTTTACTGAGGTTGAAATCAACTGCTAGTCATTTCTGCAATGCTATGTGAAATAAACAATAATTGATAGACTTTTTTAAAAAGCAACATATTTTAAAGGCTAGCAACCAAGAAAAATAAATAAATAAAGGCTACCAATCTATTCATTTAGAACAAAAGAAAGACTGGTGATGGAATCTAAGATCTCAACTATTCATATTGGCATCATGGTGCAATTCCAGTTATTTCAATGCAGCAGATCCGTTATGACCTGCCTTTATCCAGACAAAAGACATGTGATACCATCCATCAATTATACTTATATTATTATTACTTATTTTTATATTATTGTTTGGGGGCAACACATGACATCTTAACACTGACAATATCAGATAAGTTTCACTGGTAAGAATACAAAATGTTGCTTTCTGGAGAGCAATCTTATGGTATTTTGTTAATTTATATATAAATATCCTACAAGCCAGCAATCCTACTCCCTATTCTAAATTTTTACACAAGTCCTTAAGTGGATATGTGTGAAAATATTTGTCAAAGACCTACATCAAACACACTAGAAAAGTTGCCAGAAAGAAGCTGGAAAAGGAAAGGAAGTATGAAATGGGTAAAAAGAATGAATGAGACAAGATAGACAGATACACATACAACAGGGGTGTCTTGCTGAGATGATGCTCATGTACCATGACATGAAGGGTATGACTCGCTCACACCTCTGTCCTGAGACTCAAAAACAAGTAAGTAAACAAACAGAAAACAAAAACATTTCCAAGAAATTTGGGACAAGTACAAAAATTCCTCATTCTGATCTCCATAGAAGAAGACAAGTTTCTCTTGGTAAATTTATTTCCCAAATCTCAAAAGTGAAAACCTTCACACTTTCCAACCTTGCCATCATTCATACTTTCAAAACAGATATGACACTCCAAAGTCAAATGTCATCCAACCCTTGAACGTCAGACGGAAAACACAGTGGCCACCTCCTGGTCTCAGCTTGCACCTCATCCAGGAAACTCATGTTCCTTTGGGGATGAACAACATGCCCAGCTTGTTCAGCCTCTTTGAATATTTCCAACGAGGGTGAACTTGTTCCTTCACAAGAAGCCCATTCTGCAATTAGAAAATTTGATGATTCACAATTCTCCCTAACTTTAAACCAAAATCTGACACCAGCAATTTTTAAATCTATTCTTCCTAAAAGTAACAAAGCAATTTTCCTCAAAAACGAGCAAACTTTTATCATTAAAATAAGTCCCAAAATTTTAGGAAAGGGGAAACATGCAAAGGTTTAAAAAAAAAATGAGGAGTTTGGCATCAGTTTTAAAAATGCTGGACTCAAAGCCCCAGGAGATTTTGCAGTTTCTCCATGGCAAAAACAGGGGTGAGAGGCTGTCTTGAGTCCTTGAGTCCTAAGAGAAGACGTACTGAGTTGGCCAGAAGGTTTTTCCACAGCATCTTACTGAAAAACTCGAACAAACTTTCTGAACCACCCAATAGTTAGCAAACTGTCCCATGAGCTCCAGTAACATCATTCCGTAGCATTCTGGGAGCACAGTAGCAAGAAGGAGATGAAGTCTGCCCTTGTTGGAAGATTCCCTCAGCAGCCACCATCCAGCAGGGACTTGAGCCAAGATGATTTCCTGTCCTAAATTCTGTGATCCCTGAACAGACCCAGACAGAACCAAGTGCTCTCCAAAGAACTCACGGCGTTCCACAGCCAGGCCACCCTCCCACCCCCCCAGCACTCACACTGACCTTGGCAGAGATGCAGAGAAAACAAACTGCTGAAAAACGCAGAGTCTTAAGCAAGAGACACCTCTTCTGACATATTCCACTGTATTCCTCCTGAAACAACAGCACGCTCTCACATTCAGGAAGAGCTCCAGGAACCAAGTGATTATTGGTAATGACGCTGTATTTGAACTTTAACTTTCATTTTGCCAGATTCACTTGCCTTGCTAAGATGGGAAGCTGGGGGGACAGCAGAGAGCTGCGGAAGGTCTTTAGGGGAAAGCTGAGAACTTTAATTGCTTCCTTGACCTTTAGTCGAATGTGCCTGCTTGGGCCTCCTTGCAAACTCCTTATAAATGCAGCACTTCTTTGACAAGTCACCTAAGGTATCGGGGATTAATAGACGCTAGAGCACAAGAAATCCCAGGAGCACCCCCTAGGATCCCAGTCTTTGATATAAAAACTTTGTCGGTGAGTGTTTACCGCTACCACACCGAAGTCTCTGACTTTGCACTCTCTTTTACAGCTTGGTTGACCAGATCAGTGCTGCTGTCCTAACAACTACAGTGCAATAACAAATGTAAATAAATAGAGCTAGTCTTTTTTTTCAAGAATGACCACATTTTTACTTCTGTAAGGAAATGAGATTAAAAATACATATGTGAATATATTATGTAATAAAAAAAATGACTTACCACTCTAAATTAAAGGATCTTCTAAGAGATTTCATGAAACAACAACCACTGTTAATTGCGCGTTGTTGTGGTGGAGGTGGTTGTTTAGTTGTTCTGCTGTGTCTGACCCTTTGTGACCCATGAACTGTAGCCTGCCAAGCTCTGTCTCTGGGATTTCCCAGGCAGAAATACTGGAGTGGGTTGCCATTTCCTCTCCAGGGGATCTTCCCAGCCCAGGGATTGAATCCGAGACTCCTGGGCCTCCTGTATTGCAGGCAGATTCTTTACCCAGGGATTAATTGCATATACACCCTAAAAGAACACAATTCTACCATTGTACATGGTCATTTGAAATTAGTTATGCACCTAGGATGACCACATATCCTATAGCAAACACTGTCAGGCTGAAGAAAATTTAACTGACAGTATTTTATATTAGTATTCTCCTTTGAATTTAAAGACTATATAAATATCAGTCATTCCATAGGAAGGGACACTCATAAAAAAATATTCCATAATTGATAGCAGGAAATCAAAATATACTGAATTTGGGTATTTAAAATTATTTGTCCAAATGTAATACATGGGATTTTAAAAGCAAACACACACACACACAATTACATCCAGCTTAAAACTTCAGGGACTTCCCTGGTGGTCCAGCAGTTAAGATTCCGGGCTCCTAGTGCAGGAGACTGATCCCTAGCCTGGGTTCAATCCCTGCTCAGGGAGCTAGATCCCACAAGCAGCAACTTGGACCTGGCCCAGCCAAATTAAAAAAAAAAAAAAAGCAAAACTCTGCTGTTTTTTTAGCATTAACTTATATTTAAAGATTTTGAGGTAAAAAAAATTTGGGGGGGGGGCCTTGCTTCAAGACTTGCAGGGTTTGTTTCCTGACCAGGGATTGAACCCAGCCTGTGGCAGTGAAATCACCAAGTCTTAAACACTGGGCCACCAGGGAACTCCCAGGGCTAACAATTTCAAGAACAGTTATTTATTTAAATTAAAAGACAGGAGCTTCCCAAGTGGCACGAGTGGTAAAGAACCCACCTGCCAATGCAGGGGTCATTAAGAGACACAGCTTCCATTTCTGGGTCAGGAAGACCCTCTGGAGAAGGAAATGGATACCCACTCCAGGATTCGTGCCTGGAGAATTCCATGGACGGAGGAGCCTGGTGGGCTACAGTTGCAAAGAGTCGGACAAGACTGAATCAATGTAGCATGGACTAGCACGCACGCAGTGTTTTAGCGATATCACCACCCGTTTCGAGGCTGATGACAAGAGCCACTGGGCAGGAACCTAATGGAGAAGCTGCACTTTTACAGGGCATCCCTAACATCGCCTTGTTGTAATAAGTGGGGTAGATCTGTGCTCCAAACATAATACGCAAAGAACAGGTCCCCAGAGAGTATGTCTGCTATTTGTTGATTATGGGATTGAATCGTGAGAAGGTCAATGAATTAGTGGATATTCTTTGGTTTTTAGGAAAGACGCGAAGAGCACTTTTCTCCAAAAGTTAATAGCCTTATCATACAACAGAATTCTAATTTACACTTCCAAAGAACAATTTTCTACACATATTCCTGCCTTGTAATCTAGCACTCAGCCCCAGGACAAATAACTAAAACTAGGAAATGTTACACAATATGTGGAATTTTGGCTTCCCTACATGAAAAGCAGAAAATTTCTGATATCTATACCTGTGTATGTTAGTCGCTCAGTTGCATCCAACTCTTTGCAACCCCATGGACTATAGCCCAGCAGGCTACTCTGTCCATGGGATTCTCCAGGCAAGAATACTGGAGTGGGTTGCCATTTCTTTCTCCAGGGGATCTTCCCAACCCAGGAATCGAACCCAGGTCTCCTGCCTTGCAGGCAGATTCCTTACCATCTGAGCTCCCAGGGAAGTCCTATACCTGTAAGGTATAAGCTATCTGCTATAATCTTATAGCATTATTATTAATGAATTTAATATTGAAACAAATATTAAAACAAATTATAAATAAAACATAATCAAGAAACCATTACAATTATGTTGCAATTTTAGGCATATCTGTCTTAGTGCTTTTGATACAATAAAGGCTTAACACCATTTTCCTGCTATTAAATCTTTGCTGATCCTGAATAAAATCTACCAGGTGCTCTTGTCCTCTGGAGAACTAAAGCGGTTTCAATTACAAAGTAAAAATTAGCAAGATTCTGCCACGTTACAATGATGATTTTCTTAAGAGGAAAACTCAACAGTGAATTGGCTTTCAAGGCTGGATTGCAACAAGCCTTCAAAAACGCAGGTTCTGTCTGTAGTCTTCTCTTTTATACTTTTAAGGTCAATAACAGCAATACTAGATGGAAGGGTCAGATCACAGAAATACATGAAAAAAAATCTT